AACAGCATCAAGAGAACTCAAAAACTCAAGAGTAATATGCTCATACGTGGGGTGTTTAGCCTCTACAAAATTTATCCAACCAACCCATCTTAGGAGGTATGAAACATTATCCTACAGCCCTAACTCACGCAAATAATTCTCATCCAAGTAGCGGGTACTTAGAATTCCCTGCTTAACCAGTGTATTATACCTAGTTTGTTGCTGTTCATCGACTAATTCTATACAATGAGGATTTTAGAGAGAGGAAGGGTTACCTTTTTGTCATCACGATTTAGAAGTTGAGACTCCCTGACTAGTCCGTCAGTGTTTAGGTCCCATTTGACAGCAGGTCGAACGACGGTTGAAAGTGGCGGATAGCTGTTGTGCAACACGAGATGGTGTCGGTGTTGCAGAGGCGAACTCAAAATAGTGGTGGGATGATTTAGTTGAAGAGGGGATGAATCTGGTCACGTTGGTGTTGTTGGACGGAGAGTGGTTGCGTGGTCAAGGAGGGAAGAGAGGCGACGGTGTTGATGGTGAAAGGATGCAGCTATGGTGAAGGATGGAAGCAGCACTGGCTGGATATTGGTCAAAGAGGGGGTGGATTGTTGTGGTTGCATTGGTGATGAAAGAAGAGATGGTGGTGGTGATGCTTGAACAATGATTGTGGTGTTGATAAGTGGTGGAGGCGGCTGGGATGGTGAGAAGGTAGCGGCGGCTGGTCTGGATGGTGGTCGATGAGAAGAGAGGTAGTGGTCTCGTCGGAGGGGAATGAGGGGTGGCTGCGGTGATGAAGGATGAGGGTGATGAGAAGGCAGGCGGCTGATGAGGAGTAGGAGGTTTGGTGGTGGCCGGCAGCTTAGATTAGGGCAAAGAAGATGAAAGAAAATAGGGGTTTTGAACGAGAAAGAAGGGGAGGTGTCTGGGCGCTTCAGGTTTTTTTTTACATTGAACCACGGGTGTGGCAAACACCACACCTACGTGTGGTAGGGTGTGGTATTTTTCTTTTTCCTACGATCCGGGGGTGTGGCGAACACCACCCCTGGGTGTGGTAGAGCTTGGAATTTGGTGTCTAACTTTCTCTCCAGCGAACCATAGGTGTGGCTAACACCACCCCTGGGTGTGGTAGAGTATGCCACTGTCTTCTTTTTAACTCATTTCTCTGTAGTTTTTTTATATCATTCCTTAGTTAATGTTATGTCTTCCCTTCTTCTCAACTGCATGATTGAATGTATTATAAGTTAAATTGTGCCGATCCAATTGCCTAAAAAAATAAAAATTAATAAAAATTTAAAAAAAAGAAATTAAAATGAAATAAAATAAGATAAGATAAAATAAGATAAAATAAAAAGAACGAGAATGGATAAAAAACTTCGGTTGCTTCCCAAGAAGTGCTCATTTATGGTCATGAGCTCGACCCTTATTGTGGTTAATTCTTTGACGAAGGGGGATCTGAAAGGGTAAAAGTGACCCCTTTCTTGTTTTTTCCCCTACAATATAGTACTTCAATTGTTGCCCATTCACCTTAAAAGATCCCATTGTTTTGCTCCAAACTTCAACAACTCCACTAGGAAAGATCTCACGGACTTGAAAAGGTCTGGACCACCTAGACTTGAGCTTGCCCACAAAAAGCTTCAAACGAGAGTTGAAAAGTAGCACCATATCTCCTTGATTAAACTCTCTTTGAAGGATATTCTTATCGTGTCATCGTTTAGTCCTTTCTTTATAAATGCGAGCATTCTCATAGGGATCTAATCGTAGCTCATCTAGCTCATGAAGTTGAAGCTTTCTTTCTCACCTGCGGTCTTCATATCAAAATTGAGCAGCCTGATAGCCTAATACACCTTATGCTCTAACTCAACTGGGAGATTACACGATTTGTCATATACCAACTTGAACGGTGTCATGCCTATGGGTGTTTTGCATGCAGTTCGATAGGCCCATAAGGCATCTGGGAGTTTCATAGACCAATCCTTTCTTGAACAATTAACTATTTTCTCTAAAATACTCTTAATTTCATGATTCGAAACCTCCACTTGACCACTAGTTTGAGGATGGTATGGCGTGGCAACCTTATGAGTGACCCCATATTGTCTTAAGAGAGATTCAAATTTTCTTTCTATGAAGTGTGAACCGCCATCACTGATTATCGTCCGTGGCACCCCGAACCTTGGAAAAATGACATTCTTGAATAGTTTTACAACCACTTTAGCATCGTTAGTGGGGGATGCTATCGTTTCAACCTACTTGGAGACGTAGTCCACCGCCACTAAGATGAACTTGTTGTTACACGATGGTGGAAACGGTCCCATGAAATCTATGCCCCACACGTCAAAGACCTCAATTTCCAAGATGGAGTGTAAAGGCATCTCATGTCTCTACGAAATATTCCCGGTCCTCTAACAGCTATCACAAGATGTCACAAACTGATTTGCATCTTGGAAAAGACTCGGGCAATAGAAACCTGATTGTAGAACTTTTGCAGCTGTCTTTGAAGTGCTTGCATGTCCTCCGTAAGAAGATGAATGGCAATGATGGAGAATACTTATAACCTCATCTTCAGGAACACACCTTCTAATATCCCATCAACACACCATTTGTACAGAAATGGTTCATCCCAAAAATAATACTTCAAGTCAGCAAAGAACTTCTTTTTCTGTTGATAGCTCAGATCCGGAGGTAAAACTCCACACACTAGGTAGTTGACGAAGTCCGCATACCATGGTGCATCCAATCTTTCAATGGATAACAACTGATCATCTGGGAAGGATTCGTCGATCGGTAGTTCATCCTCCTCCCTATCATGTGATTCTTGTCTCATCCTTGACAGATAATCTGCCACCAAATTTTCTGTCCCTTTCTTGTCCTTTGTCTCTAAGTTAAACTCTTGTAAAAGTAGTATCCATCGAATCAACCTAGGCTTGGCATCTTGTTTGCTCGAAAGATATTTGATGGCAGAGTGGTCGGTATAAACGATGACTTTGGACCCTACTAAGTAAGACCGAAACTTTTCAAAGGTGAAGACAATTACTAATAGCTCCTTTTTAGTGGTAGTATAATTAACTTGGGCTTCATCAAGAGTACGACTAGCATAATAAATTGCATGAACTATCTTGTTCTTCCTTTGGCCCAACACAGCACCAATTGCATAATCACTTGCATCAGTCATGACTTCAAATGGGAGATTCCAGTCCGGCGGTTGCATAATAGGAGTTGTTATCAATGCTTCCTTCAACCTACAAAAATCATCAAGACATTCATCAGTGAAATCAAGGGGAGGGTCTTTAAGAAGAAGGTTAGTTAAAGGTTTTGTAATTTTTGAAAAGTCTTTGATGAAACGCCGTTAGAAACCGGCATGTCCCAAGAAACTTCTTACTCCCCTAACCAACATTGGTGGAGGCAATTTTTCAATGATTCCCATTTTTGTTCGATCAACCTCAATTCCGTGCTCGGACGCCTTGTGTCCTAGAACTATTCCATCCCTTCCCATAAAGTGGCATTTCTCCCAATTTAGGACTAAATTAACTTCTTCACAACATTGTAAATATCGAGACAAGTTAGCTAAACAACCATCAAAAGTAGTCATATACATGAAGAAGACATCCATAAGCACGTGCATAATGTCTTCTATAAAATCAGAGAAAATAGCCATCATACATCGTTGAAAAGTATCAGGGGCATTACAAAGACCAAAAGGCATGCGCCTATAAGCAAAGGTCCCATAGGGACAAGTAAAAGTGGTCTTTTCCTGGTCACTAGGATGAATAGGGATTTGGAAAAATCCTGAATAGCCATCTAAATAACAAAAATAGGAATGACTGGCTAACCTTTCCAACATCTAGTCTATAAAGGGAAGTGGAAAATGATCTTTTCGGGTTACCTTGTTCAACTTTCTATAATCAATACACATCCTCTAACCCGTAACCGTCCAAGTAGGGATAATTTCTTTATTCGCATTCTTCACTATGGCCTCACCCCTATTTTTTGGAACCACATGAACCGGGCTAACTCATTCACTATTAGAAATATGATAGATTACCCTAGCGTCTAGTAGCTTAAGCACCTCTTTTTTAACCACTTCCATCATGTTAGGATTTAGTCTACGTTGGTGCTCTATAGAGGGTTTATGATCATCTTCCAAGAGAATTCTATGCATGCAAATTGATAGGTTGATTCCTTTAATGTCGTTCATGGTGTATCCTATTAGTTTTACTACCTCATTCGTGGTTTGTTGTTGTTGCTTAAACTCTTCATTCAATCTCGATTGAGTCATCACAAACTTTTCCATCATATTTTTCAAATTAGATCATTGAGAAGGGAGATTTGATTGAGGAGCATGAAAACCAGGAGGAGCAAAATTAGATGCGGGCATGGGATTCCCAGGTGAGTTTCTATAAGAAAAATTAGGATGATTCCTCCACCCCGGATTATAAGTGTTGGAGAAAGGGTCTCCCTTCTGATTAAAGTTATTAATATAGTTAACATGTTCATTACCAGAAGTATTAAGGGAAGGGGGTTTTCCTAATTGACATTCAAGTGTAGAATGACCCACATAATCTCATCTCGCATGCAATTGTAGTAGACACCACAAAATTAATACTCAATTTTTCAACTTTTTTAAACAAAGCATCAACTTTAGAGGATATATGATCTAAAGCATCGATTTCATACTTTCCTCCTTTTGATGTCTGAGCCCACTCGTTCGCCCATTGATTGTGATTTTGAGCCATGTCTTTAATGAGAGTGTATGCCTCATCTATTGTTTTGTTCATCAAAGCTCCTCCTGCAACAGCATCAACAGTCATCCGAGTATTGTAAGTGAGCCTGTTGTAGAAGGTGTGAACAATTAACCTCTTCTCCAGTCCATAGTGAGGGCACATCCTTAATAATTTCTTGTAGTATTCCCAATCTTCATAGAGTGACTCTCCTTCATTTTGTACAAAGCTTGTGATCTGGTTCCTCATTTGTGCTATTTTACTTAGGGGAAAATACTTTGTAAGAAATGCCCTGGACAACTGATCCTAAGTGGTGATGGACCTAGCGGGCAATGAGTGCAACCAAGCCCTAGCCTTGTCCTTTAAAGAGAACGGAAAATGTCTAAGTCGAATAGCATCATTAGTCACTCCATTAAGCTTCAAAGTGTCACAATACTCCAAGAAAATCGACAGGTGGAGGTTCGGGTCTTTAGTTACACCTCCTCCAAACTGATTTTGTTGAACCATTGAGAGCAGTGATGGTTTTAGTTCAAAATTATTAACTTTAACATTACGCCTTGTAATACTCCAATGCGTGCCTTGAGCATTTGGGGCAGCGAAATCCTTAAGAAGCTGATTCTGATCACCCATCGTAGCTTGTTTTGTGTTCCTCTGCTCCCTTATATACATTCTTATCTCTGCAAGAGTCATCGATAGTTCAGGATTTATTTCGTTGTGTACTTCTGTTTGATGCCCATGCATAAAAGAAAGTGAGTAGCGAAGAGAATATAAAAAATATATATAGTTTAGCTTAATAACGTAAGCACTCAATATTAACATCGTAGTTCTCAGCATCAGCGTCAAAAACTTAATAGGAAAAATCTACAAGTACACAGACTCGTTGTAGCTATCAAGGTCGATCCCACAAGGACTAGGGGTTAATTACAAAATTTCACGTTATTTGACTAGCTAAACTAATGAGTAATTAGAAGAGATTCAAATTAAAAGAAATAAAATAAATAGCTAATCAGGTGGAAGTCAATATATTGAAGGGCCAGGATTAGGTTTTCACCACAACTTCGATGCTCAATGATGAATTATTTAAGTTCTTGGTGTTGGTTTTAAACTAAAATGGTGAATTAGCCTAAATTAATCTAAAGCCTCTTTCAAGGTCTAAAGATCGTGCCTAATTAGTCCCAATTAACCTACTTTCATGGAATCAAGATTAAATTAAACTCATTAAGCTTTATGCTAATCCTAATCAAATCCCTAAGGAATCTAGCCTACTTTCATGGTTCGAGTTTCGTGCTTAATTTCTAGAGGTCCGGTATTAATCTTCACCTTTCAGTCCTTCAATTAATTACCTATAATTGCTAATACGGTGATCAAGCGAATCAATAAAATTAAAACACAAGAAATTAAGTTTAAAGATTTAAACTTTCACCAAGAACCTATATTAATTCATCATTAAGTTTAAAGATTTAAACTTTCACCAAGAACCTATATTAATTCATCATCAATCACCAAAAAGTTGGGTTCTTTCCTTTCACCAAGAACCTATATTAATTCATCATCAATCACCAAAAAGTTGGGTTCTTTCCCAATCCTAGACAAAGAATCTACTCACACATGATTGAGATAAGAGAATACATCAAATAAATATGTAAATAAATCATAAGAAGAAATTAATAAAAGAGAGGAAAGAATTAACCCGTCTTTCAATTGAAATCTTCAAAATATAGACTTGCAATCCAATATTGTACAAGAATTTTGTGTCTTCCTTCAATACTTGAACTCTAGAATAGATGCTAATTGACAACTAAGAGAATAAGAACAAAAGATATATCAACCCTAAACCAAAATATCTATTTATATATCCCTAAAAAATCTGAAAAAAGATAAGGCTCGCGCCACGGGTGTGGTGGAATCTGTCTTGCTCATTTTGTGCTTGTTTGTATAGTCTTTGGTATTTTGGCTATAACTTTTTTGTCTAACCTCAGAATGAGGTGATTCAAGTTTAATTAGAAAACTGCTGAATAGATCTACAATTTTCGTCTTTTGACCTTTTCCGGATTCAAATTTCATTATGGTTGAAATTCTAGTTCTTCATGCTCATGCATCTATTTTCTTCTCGAACCATGCATCCTAAGTCCAGTTGTTGTTTCAAACTCTTGTTTAACTTCCAACGATCATCGAATCTTTTAATCTTGAGCCAATACCTACATATAAGAATACAAACCACAACAGTATCCTCGATCTAAACACGAAATATGCATCAAACACCCATAAATCATGCTTGAAACACACTAAGATAATGCATATTTTACGTGTTTATCACTAGCCTTATCCAGGTAGCAACCCCTATTTTTTCCATCATTTATCTTCTTAACCAAAAAAAATAAGTAGAAGAACAAGCTTGAGATGGTCTAGAAAGGGCATTGATGCTTGAAAAGATAGAAGATTTGGGCATCCTCTAAGTAAAATGTTATTCTAATTATATTCTAATAATTCAAACAAGTATAAATATGAGTTTTCCATGGGTAGAAGCTACTTTGGTCATGCAATATACATTTCTAGTTTAATTTAGGCTTGCATGTAAGGGTAGATGGTATTTCGGTTCGTGCATGGCATTAGAAAGTAAAAAAGACACCATCTTGGCTCTTATTTTTTAATAAAAATATGATCTTGAATGAATATTGGGTTTTAATTTATGACAAAGATGATCTTTGAATCTGGTTATGAGTTTCATGCAATGTATAAGTGATTGAATGGGTTGCATATTAGTTTATATGACTTATTCTCGTGCAGAAAATTTCCTACGAGACATCCTCTTAGTATTTTGGCCATAACTTTCTCTATGGATATCTTTTTCAAGTGAAGTTTTTTATTTTCAAATTTTTACTCATGCATCATTATGTTGAACTTATTTTGGTCTAATTTGGATATCATTTGCTATCTCAAATACTTGTAGAAGTGGATGCATATTTTTCAAATAAGACTTGGTAGAAGTGGATGCATATTTTTCAAATAATACTTGGTAGAAGTGGATGCATGTGTCTAAAACAATACTTAATAGAAGTGGATACATATGTTTGAAATACTACATAGTAGAAGTTGATGCATGTGTCTGAAACAATACTTAGTAGACATAAATGAATGTGTCTGAAACAAACTGCTTGAGACAATCAATTATAGAGAGCATCACTCCTAATATATATCTTACATGTATGAAATTCTTTTAGTTTCTGAAACTATTCTCATGTAGCTTTCTTTTGAAATTAGTTTGTCTCATTTTCGATGTCATTTGCTATCTCTGATTCATGGTCAAATGTATTTTATGTGCACAGGAATGTGTGTGATAGTGCTATGTGACACCTATGCAATATCTTATCATATCTCCATGATTGTTAGTCATAATTTAAATCTAATTGGATAGTCCAAAACTTAGCTTTCATATCTTTCATCTAGATCTAATTTTATACAAATTTGAGATTGTTTACTAGTTCAAATCCCTGGTCATAACTCTATGCAAGTGCACATGATATTCAATTTGCCCTCTGCTAGTTTGTTGCATGTATCTCAATTTCTTTTTATGTTTGAGTAAATAAAAATTTATGATCTGGGACTGGGTTTATTCAATTACCCATATTATATTTGTGGTTGTATTTTGATAGTGGGTTATACCTAAAAGAGTTGGTAAGATGAGGCAGTAAATTCTGCTCTCGACACGAGTCTAATATCCTGACCCTTTTATGTTTTATAGGGCATAACTCTCTTTAGAAAGCTTGCATGTATGAATTTCATCTTGTTTCAAAAACTAGACTTGTATAGGAACAATTTGAATATTGTTTCACAAATTATGGATGTCATTTAGTCCCTCATTTATGCACTTAAATAGGCTACATAGCCTGCAATTATAGTCTGTATATGTCCTACATATTCTGTGTATAACTTGAGTCATACACATAAATCTTGAAAATAATTTATTATTGTGAAAAGTAGACACATGTTAGAGTCATATTGTACTAGTTTCATGCATTTTGGACATCAATTGTTCTATTATTTGTCCATCTCAAACTGTTGCATGTACACTGCATTGGCGGTCGGTGCATATTATAAGTGTTAGATGTAACCATCTTAAGTGTAGCATATACCATGATATAAGTTATTAGTTAGAAAAATAATAAAATATCTAGTTGTATAGAATCTCATATAGGTATACATGTCTGTGTATATAGGAGAAAGATTCTTGGATTCATTCGTCAGTCCAGAGGAACCCGGTGCAAATGGTAGGTAACCTTTCATTATTTTCTCTTAATTCTTTGATAATTCGATTAATTGCTTTCTTTAAATTCTAGGAGTTGATTTTCCATGCTCAGTAATATATCTTATCACTTTCATAATATTTCTATTTGAATCACTTCATGCGTGGGCTCTTTGTTGATTGCTTAACCATTACTATCCTAATATTGTTTATTTTAATTTTATATCATTGATATTCTCAGAATAATTATATTATGGTAATTCGACTTACTTCAATGATTTTGTTATTGAGAATGATAGTATTCTTTCATTTGCTAATGGTTGATACTCTATATTTGTGGATTATGCCGTATGGGAAGTAAGTTTCATCAGTTGATAGTACTAGAAATGGGCCCTAGTGGGGACAATGACCTGTGTGAGGATACTCAACAGTGGGTGTATAAATACATGCATGGTTTATTGATTATCCCATGATTGAGGAAGTTTGGAATCCTAAATATTAGAGCTTGATTAATTATATTGACATCTACTATTTCATTTCGATCAATGATCATGATATAAGTATTGGTAACTTATTGTTGAGTTCCATTCATTTAATTTCAAATATCAATGATTATTCCTTTCATTTATCCTCTTATGTTACACTCTGAGATTTTTATGGTTAGCTATTGGGCCTTAGCCTCGCCCCTATTATTTCTGCATCCATTCACAGGTCATACAGTTGATAAGGGCAAGGAGTTCACAAGCCCTAGCATAGAAGATTAGGTCCCATGTCAATCATAGTAGGAGTTATTTTGTATTTACTTTTGTAGTACTTTTCACATATTGGATGTGTACTAATGTGTATTGTAGGTATTATCAAACTTGTACTATATTATTGTTCCATTTAGATTTTTGCTACTCTGGTATTCCATGGCCTCTGCTGTCAACCTTGTAATCCTGAGTGTTATATATATTTTTTCTTCTTTAATTCCACTCTTCAGTATTATTGTGTATATATATATGAGAGTATGTAAAATTTGAGCAGGTCAACTCTTCTTATTACGGACAGGTCATACCCAATTTTTATGTACCTCTAGATGTGTTACAGACCCAAAATGTGTCTAAACCATCGACGGTTGATGTAGATCATCGTTGATTCCCTATAGTCCATCAGTGGTTCAAAATCCTGTTTCTCTCATTGTTCATTATAACCCATTGATGATCGAAGTAACCATCGATGATATCCTATTGACCATCGATGATCCATTGGCTAAATTGAACATTTAGAGAGTTTTGAGACATAATTTTAACAAATATTCTCCTTGACTCAACAACCTGAATAAGTTCTTAACTTTCTCAATAGTATACTATCAATGCCTCTGCAAATGTGCCCTACAATGCCTCAACGTCCTTTGACATTAAGCAAGTCTAAGCAAAGCTTGAACTTGGCTATTAGTAGTGGCTTC